TAGATGTAAAGTACTTACACACAAACTAATCTGGCTTTAGTCAATATACTACAAGAATTAATAATAAAAATAGCTTTCATAAGATTACCAATACTTTCTTCATGCCATCTTCAAAATGTTTGAAAAATTAATTTATTGTGGATTAGTGAAATAAAAAGGTTGTTTAAGGAGAATTTTTACTACATTTATAAATTGTTACTTTATAAAGCATAAAATTAGCAGTAATTTTTGTTTGACAATTGCTGTTTTCGCAATTTTTTTAAAATCAATCACTTTTAATTCAATTCAATTTATTAAAAAGTAAAAAACAGTTTTAGTCTTCAACGGTTGAGATTATTTTTTAAACTTCGTTGAAGAAACTGTCGTTGCACTAGCATAAATTGAGATCGACCTGATGAAAGATGGTATTATTTATATATGTGATAATTAATATTGTTTTGTAAAATTTATTGTCTCTCTAATATAATATGAATGTGCAGCCATTATTTTTTTAATATTTTATATTTTTTATAAATGATAGACCTTAAATATATTCATGGATTATTATATTATTGTTTAATAACTTAGTTGTTTGGCTTTTTTTTCCTTCGATTCTGTCCTCGCCACTAAATAAATAAGTGACTACATAAAAATAAATAAAGAGGAGGTTTAATGCCGGTGTAGTAGGCAGGATTGACTTAACGGTAGCGTTCACTGTACAGTAAGCCGTACGGGAAGGTAACAAACACTGCACAGTGCTTGCTGCCTAGGTACAAAGCATTGTACAGTAATTCCTACCGGCTAGGCACCAAACACTTAACTCAGGTAACATAGACTAACGGCAAAGAAAACGTTTTTAAAGAGAGTATTTACTTTTTTTAGTTTAAACTTATTTTTTTTTAATAACTTTTGAAATAATTGGATTAAGTTAATTTTATAATTCGATTTAGGTTAAAGGAGTCTGTACTACTTTTGTGCCTTTTGGCCCATAATCACGCCAAGCCGATCGTGTTTAGATTTTTACACCAACGTATTGTTAGTGTCTTACGGATTACCAGCCAAAAAATCTAAACCCGATCAGCTTGGCGTCATAGTTTTCTGGTAAATCTGGTATCTGGTAAAAATATTTTTTTGGCCAAAAATTTAAAAAAAAGAAAAAATCAAAAAACAAGAAAAATTATTGTAATTTTATATATTTAAGCCAAATAATAAAAAAAAGTTTTTATATTATACATTTTTGGTAGTTTTTTGATGATAGAATTGCTTAAATCATCTACCAAATAAAATTCACTATTTAATAAAAATATTGATCTATAGTGGCTTGTTCATTATTAAATATTGTGCAACATATAAAATTGAAACAACGTTTATCAATTATAAATGATAATGGGATATCATTTATATTTAGTTCATCTTCATCTTCTTGGAACACCTCTACAAATAAACAAAATGGGTGAAATAAAAACTTTGCAGTAGAATTATTAGAGCAGATTTTACACAATTCAATCAACTTGATATTTAAATATGTTACTTTCTCTGCGTTTTTAATTAAGATAAACTCATTAATGTTTGGACAAATCGTTTTGTTACTGGTTGAACAATTAAACTGAATTGTCTGAAAATGTATTAAAAAACGAATAAACGCATTGCATTCTGTATCAAGAGTACTGAAAGTTGAAGAATCATTTGGTTTTAGTCTCATAACAAGAAGAATCCATATAGTTTTTACTCTATCCCATTCACAAGTTTCAATGAGAGAAAGTATATCGAGTATGTGATTATATATTTTGATATCTTTTTTATTCTCTTGTAATACACTTATGATATTTTGTGACAATAAAGATGAGCACCAAATAGCCAACAAAAAATAATCAATTGTGCAAGTGTTCTGAATGATAATACTTCGGTATAATTGACACAGCAAAAAATAATCTGTATCCATTTTAAAATCATCTTTATTTAACAAAATACAGCCGCTCTATTTTGGTAAATGCTTTGAAAAAGATCTAAAGTTTGTTTCATTAATTATTTTTGCAGATTTCTTATTCAATAGTGAAATACTTAATTCAGAATCAATTATATTCAATTCTACGTTAGATTTAGCTTTCGATTGTATTAAACTCGTTGATATATCTCGTTTCATAGTTTCATTTATCTCTCATGTTTCTTTTTCAGATTCGCATTCGGATTCATTTTCACTTTGTAAAAAAAACATAAGCCTTGAGCCTGGATTAGGAAGTTTTTCTAAATACTTTCCACAACACAAATAAAGTATAATGCTAGCAATGTGACTACAACAACCACAAGTTCTTAAACCAGAAAAACACCCGCAT